TTCTATTACAGATTTCTCCACACAACCAGACTTGCTTGTGAGCTGAGTTATCTCTGAGTATGTGCATAACAGTGTCCCCCTAGAGCCTGCTTTTGCTTGAATCACTGGAGGATACTCTTTTGAGTATTCTGTTCTTATGTGCTTTAGTTTCATGCTTCCTTTGCTCAGCTGCCTTGAATGCTTTGAATTAAACAAAGTTGACAGAAAGCACTCTGCCAGAAGCTCAAAGGAGTTGCTGTATCACACAAGGTCAGCATTGTCCTGTATGGAAAAGCTAATATCTGTTGCAACACAGAGCAATGAATCCCTAATAGTACGTTCTCTAAAGCAGATTCTAAGGAGTGTGACATGTCAATGGGAGACAGAGTGTCACTAATTTCACATATGTTATTGGCATGTTGCATAGTTTATGGACAAGAATTATTAGGGTTTTATTCATTCAGCCTCAAATGGGATTTGTGAAAAGAACAAATGGAAGGAACCAAATAACTGCAAGCTCAGAGACTTTAGGCTGCAGGTAAATTGTGCCAGAAGAATCACAGAACTGAAAGAGACCACAAGGACCATCTCTGCAAATGAATTTTTCTTCAGTCCCCCAATTTCTGCCATTGCAGAGAGTAGAAAATTGAAAGTTGTTCACACCTTTCGCAGTGTTCACATTCACGTGAAACTTTGCACGTCTCTTTTCTTTAGATGTCTAAACGGCATTTCTAACTACTGACATTCAAAGTTTTTGAAATGTTAGACATTTGGAAACTAAAGAAAAAATTCAAATGAGAGGGGCAAAATCTTATTTCAAGGGGCAATGCTTGCATTGAGTCAGTGTGCCATAATGTTTTGAGTGTTGGACTATTGGCTCTGGAGATCAGGGTTTGAATCTTTGCTTGGTCAAAGAAACCCACTACGTCAGTGTTTCTCAACCTGGGGGTCGGGACCTCTGGAGGGTTGTGAGGAGTGTCAGAGAGGTCGCCAAAGACTATCAGAAAACACAGTATTTTCTGTTGGTCATGGGTTTTCTGTGTGGGAAGTTTGGCGCAATTCTATTGTTGGTGGGGTTCAGAATGCTATTTGACTGTAGGTGAACTATAAATCCCAGCAACTACAACTTCCAAATGTCAAAGCCTATTTCCCCCAAACTCCATCAATGTTCACATTTGGGCATATTGAGTATTCGTGCCAAGTTTGGTCCAGATTCATCATTGTTTGAGTCCACAGTGCTCTCTGGATGTAGATGAACTACAACTCCAAAACTCAAGGTCAATGCCCACCAAACCCTTCCAGTATTTTCTGTTAGTCATAGGAGTTCTGTGTGTCAAGTTTGGTTCAATTCCATCATTGATGGAGTTCAGAATGCTCTTTGATTGTAAGTGAACTATAAGTCCCAGCAACTACAACTCCCAAATGACAAAATCAATTCCCCCCAACCCCACCAGTATTCAAATTTGGGCATATCGGGTATTTGTGCCAAATGTGGTCCAGTGAATGGAAATACATCCTGCATATCAGATATTTACATTACAATTTATAAGAGTAGCAAAATTACAGTTATGAAGTAGCAACGAAAATAATTTAATGGTTGGGGGTCACCACAATATGAGGAAATGTATTAAGAGGTTGTAGCATTAGGATGATTGAGAAACACTGCACTAGGTGACATTGGGAAAGTCACACTCTTTTAGCCTCGATGGAAGGGAGAGGTAAACCAGCTCTGAACCAATCTTGCCAAGAAAGCCTTGTGATAGGTTCAAAGTCAGATATGACTTAAAGGACACCCAGCAATAAGAACTGTCCTCATTTTGCCCTGCCATAGCTAGGCTCTTGGGCAGAATCTATGAGTTATGTAGGAGACAACTCATCCTTAATGAGATGCATTGACTGATCAATGTTTTATGTTATTACTACCCCAGACAAGGTCATTAGTATAGGACTCGCAAAAGGCATTGGCAACCACAAGCAGTCACCACTCGCACTGCTTAGTTAAAACCTGTGTCTGTGTCTTTTACAATTCTGGATTGCTGCATGACTGACTGCATTTGTACCTGTTCTTTTCTGCAAAATACACTTTGTTTGCATTTCTATCACTGTAAATATAATACAGAATATTCCACCTCCCAGATGCCTGAGTAAATCAAAAAGGAATACTAAACAAGGCTTTCTCTTTTAACAGCTGAAAGTTTTATTGTTTTAATTTATGTCTAGCTCAAGAGAGACTGAGCTCTTCTCCGCTTCATGTGGTGCAATGCAGCCACCGGCACGTTTGCCCAGGCACTCTCCTGTGCCTTGCAAAGACACCTGCTGCTGCTGCTGAAGGATGACAACTACAAAAAGCCATCTGTGAATAAACGGGAGTAACTCAATAATGTCCTGGAGCACAGTCTTACTAATATGGAAATACATGTAAATTTAGCCAATGAGTTAAAATGAAGAAGCAGATGATTCATCTTCAATGCATATTAGATATCTCTATTATTATTATTATTATTATTATTATTATTATTATTATTGCTGTTATTGTTGGTTTCACAATATACAATACTATACAATATTTGAAAAACTCAGGTGATAGACCCTCAGTGCATTTGGGTTTTGTCCAAGAATCTAGACTCAAACGAGCGATGATTATTGGTATTACAATCAACCCTTGGCATCCATGGATTCTGCCACCCACCACTTGAAAATGTTAAAAAGAAAACTGAAAAAGGACATTTTGCCATTTTATATAAGGGATGCCATTTTGCTACACCATTGTATACAATGGGACTTGTGCTTCTATGGATATTGGTGTCCGTGGAAGATCCCGGAACCAAACTCTAGCAGATATCAGGGACCAATGTTTTATTACTATTGTTGTTGTTGTTGTTGTTGTTGTTGTTATTATTAATAATAATAATAATAATAATATATTGTCAAAGGCTTTCATGGCCAGAATTACTGGGCTGTTGTAGGTTTTTCGGGCTGTATGGTCATGTTCTAGAAGCATTCTCTCCTGACGTTTTGCCTGTATCTATGGCAGACATTCTCAGAGGTTGTGAGACTTCACAACCTCTGAGGATGCCTGCCATAGATGCCGGTGAAACGTCAGGAGAGAATACTTCTAGAACATGGCCATATAGCCTGAAAAACCCATAACAACCCATTATTAATACACTTTATTTATATTCTGCCCTTCTTCCCTAGGGGACTCAGAAAGGATCACAGCATTTACATACACAGGCAAACATTCAATGACTTTACAATCATTAAAATACAATGAGACACACAAACACAAATAAAGGCAGAGGTTTCTCCTTTCCTTTCTGGCTTCTGGAGGTGGTGCTCATCTCTGGCTCTGGAGAGGTGCTTTTTCCTCAATTTTCAAACCAAGGGACCTGCATTGTCACCTCCTGGTTGTGTGGTTGGCAAGATTGCTTGGAGTGGCGCTTTGCCTTTCCTGCTGACATGGTACCTATTTATTTTCTCACATGTGCATGTTTTTAAACTATGTTGGTAGGAACTGGAGCTTACATGGGAGCTCACCCCATCTTGCAGATTCAAACTGCCAACCTTCAGGTCAGCCATTCAGCAGCAGAAGGGTTTAACTCATTGCGCCACCGCAGCTTATTGTTACTTTTAATAGTAAAGTCAGTCCCCTGTATCCATAGATTTGGCATCCATGGATTCTAAATTTGAAAATATTTTTTAAAAAATCACAGAGGAAAGCCTTGATTATGTCATAAGGGACCACCATTTTGCTGCACTATTGTATACAATGGGAGTTAGCATTCACAGTTTTTGATGTCTACAGGGGTCCTGCAACTAAACCCCAGTCAATATTGGCCCACTGTGTTACCATTATGACAGTCAGTCTAAGATACCCATGAAATTGGCTTCCAAGGAGGGATCAAGCTTTCTATGTGTTGTCGAAGGTTTTCATGGCTGGAATCACTGGGATGCTGTGAGTTTCCCAGGCTGTATGGACATTTTCTAGAAGCATTTTCTCCTGACGTTGTCCAATAGATAAGAGTTCTTTCTCCCATCTTGCATAGATATATCAACCTTCCTTGTCTAGTTTCCAATATACCTCACAACTTCTGAGGACGCCAGCCATAGATGTGGGCAAAACATCAGGAGAGAAAGCTTCTGGGACATAGCCATACAACTCACAGCAACCAAGCTTTCTATGGCTTGAAAATATTCCATAAACGTATTGTCGAAGGCTTTAGTGGGCGGAATCACTGGGTTGTTGTGAGTTTTCCAGGCTGTATGGCCATAATTCCCAAAGCATTCTCTCCTGACGTTTAACCTTCATCTATGGCAGGCATCCTCAGAGATTGTGAGGCCTGACCTCACAACCTCTGAGGATGCCGGTTGGGGTAGATGAAGGCGAAATGTCAGGAGAGAATGCTTCGGGAACATATCCCATAAACATTCCAAAAGGTAAACTTTGATTTTGCCATTTTATATCAGGGGCACCATTTGATACTACACCATTGTGTATGAGGACTTGAGCATCCAGGGATTTGGGTATTCATGGGGGTCCAGGAACCAAACCCCAGGAGATGTCAAAGGCTCACTGCATCATCATCATCATCATCATCTATATTGCAACTCAAAGGACTGCTCCTTGGCTCTGAAATGAGGTTATGGAGCCAAGCTCTTGTGATCCCTGGCACCAAACCCCAGCAGGTATTGGGGGCACTATTATTAGTTTATAGGGCTGATCCTTGGCTCTGCAATCAGATTAGATGCCAAGCTCTTGTGATCCTTGGTGCGACTGATGAAGCCTGGGTGGTGGTGGGCGAGCCAGCCAGGCAGCCACTTCCTTGCCTGCAGCTGCCAAAGGGACCTTTTCCCCCGGCAGGTGCCAGCCAAGTGGGGCCCCTCCTTCCTTCCCTCTTCCCTCTCCGCGGTTGCAGGGTCTGTGGAGAGAGAGGGTCTCCCTCTAGGACCCCGCTGGAAGCTCTGCCCGGGCAGTGGCCGGAATGCAGCCCACTGCGCCAACCGGGCGCAAGGCTTAGCTCTCTCTCCTTTCCTCCAGCATCTTGCAAGGAGAGAGAGAGGTCCTGGGGGGAAGGAGCCACCTCTCAAAGCCGGGGCTCCAGGGCTTGGAGAGCGAGTCCCATGCTTCCTTTACACACAGAGAGAGAAACCCACGCTTGGCAGTAGTAGCCAAGGAGCCCGGCATCCTCCTCCTTCTCCTCCTGCTGCTGCTGCATTGGCTGCCTTTGGAGGGGAGCCTCCTTTGCCCATCTCCATCCCCCTCTTTCTCGCCTTTGCCCCCCACTTGAGGCGAGATCAGAGGGAGGAAGGAAGAGGAAGAGGAAGGGGAAGAGGAGGAAGCGGCAATTGCGGCGGAGGAGCAGGAGGAGGAGGAGGAGGAGGAAGAAGAGTTGCAACTCCTTGCTGGGTGTGTGTAAGGAGGCGATGCTGCTGCTGCTGCTGCTGTTGCTACAGCCGGGGAKCGAGGTCTTGGCTGTGACCAGAAGGGACCCAGACCCTCAGGAAGCTGCCTTGACCCGATCCGATTGAAGGAGAAGAAAGAGGAGAAAGGGAAGAAGAAGAAGAAGAAGAAGCATTTGGAGGAAGAGAAGAGGAGCGGCATCATGAAGACTTGGCTGCTCCGGGCGCTGGGCTGCCTCCTGGCTTGGGGTGAGTCTCTTTCCAAAGGCACCCACGCCCACCCGGGGAAAAAAGTCACCTTTGGAGAGGAAAGGAGAGAGATARAGAGGGGGAAAGGCAAGCTGGACAAAGGACAGCCCCTCCGAGAAGTGGCATCCAAGGCTGCCATTGCGGCGTGTGGCTCTGAAGGAGTGGGAGGTGCAGGGGGTGATTTGGGGGAGTGGGAAGGTTCCCTGCACAATCCAGGGAGATTGGCTGCTATTAGGATTGCCACCGAGGGGAGCAGGTGGATCTTCTGAGAGAGGGAAAAGCCACTGCCTTCTCTCAGGTTGTCCCTATTCCCGCCTGCAGTGGAGAAGAAAGATGAGGATGGAGATCTTGGCAACCTTTAGTTTGCTAAAGGATTCCCCCATTTATTATTTATTTACAAATTTATATTCTGCCCATCTCACACCGCAGGGGACTCAGGGCAGATCAGAATGCACATATACATGGCACACATTCAATGCCATAGACACACATCATATATAGACAGACACACGGAGGCTATTTAACTTTCTAGCTTCATGAGGATATGCTTTGTATTCCAGCCACTAGGGGAGCTTCACCGTCCTTTTGTGACACCAATGGAGTACTTCCTCATTATTTTGCACTCTGCTGGAGAGTTTCATGGTGTCATAAATTAGTTAAATTAGCCTTCCCACATAAGCAGTACCTAAATTTCCTACTTGACAGAGGCAACTGTCTTTCAGGCTGCAAAGGTCGACAGGTTGGGAACTTACTCCAACCCAGGCTGGCTTCAAACTCATGACCTTTCAGTCAGTAGTGATTTTAATGCAGCTGACTCCCAACCACCTGTGCCACAACCTGGTCCCCAGGCAGAAATCAAGGTGGCCAATTGCAATATTCACACTCACCCCCAACAGGCAAGAGTTCTTTCTCCCACCCTGGACATTACACAGATATTTAAACCCCACTTGCCTAGTTTCCAACAGACCTCACAACCTCTGAGGATGCCTGCCATAGATGCAGGTGAAAGGTCGGGAGAGAATGTTTCTGGAACATGGCCATACAGCCCGGAAAACTCACCGCAACCCAGTGATTCTGGCCATGAAAGCCTTTGACAATACCTTAGTTTTATGTCCAGGGTGATCCACCAAATGAAGGGGGCTCCTGTTTACCCGGCCTTTTTGGATGCTTCTGCACTGCAGAATTAATGCAGTTTAACACCACTTGGACTGCCATGGCTCCATGCTGTGGGATCCTGGCTGTTGCGGTTTGGCAGAAAAGGCTAAAGACATTGTAAAATTACAGCTCCCAAGATTCCATAGCACTGATGAGTCCTGGCAACTAAAATGGTGTCAAACTGCATTCATCTTACAGTGTAGATCAGGCATAGGCAAACTTGGGCCCTCCAGGCGTTTTGGACTTCAACTCCAATTATTCCCAACAGCCTCAGGCCCCTTCCTTTTCCCCCTCATCCGCTTAAATGGATGAGGGGGGAAAGGACAGGGCCTGAGACTGTTGGGAATAATGGGAGTTGAAGTCCAAAACACCTGAAGGGCCCAAGTTTGCCCATGCCTGGTGTAAATGCACCCTTTGTTTCTAGCACTCCCCATTGGAGTAGAGGGATTCTCTCCCCCTGTGAGGGACTGGCTTTGGCTTCCTTCAGTTTTGCCTCCTCTTACAGGAGTTTGATAGTCTGCTGAATGAAACTAGTTATCCTTCTGTTCAAGCACATTTGACCATAGATTGGCTCCGAAAGTTTCAGTTTGCTCTTTGTTACTTAACTGGGGGGATCTTCATGTGAGGGAAGTTGTTTCCCATCCAGTGCTGCTTCACCACGCTTCTTTTCCTTAGTAAACAAACAACCTCATGAGATGTCCTTAAGCCAGTGATTGCTAAGCTTTAATCCTCCACGTGTTGTCCATTTGAACTCCCATTGGTTTCCTTGGCCAATGATCAGAGATTTGTGGAGCTGAGGTCCACAATATCCAGAGACCACAATTTGGGAGGCAATACACTGCTTTGAGCCATGCCATTTGAAGTGGTTTGGATGGAAAGTTGTCCAGCACCTTTCTTTGTATGATAGGGTTGTGTCTCTATGGAAATGGTTCCCAACCTCTTTTTTTAAACTAGGGATCACTTGACCAGGGTCTACTTTCCAACATTACTACCAAAAAGGGTTACGAATCAGTTTTTGGTCAACTTTAGATTCAGTTTGGTTATTTGGGGTGCTGATTCAGAAAATTGCATTGAATAGACTACATCAGCTCTACTTTCTGATACAGAACATATGACATCCAGTAGTTGCCATCTGCTCACCCACAGAAAACCATATTTAATAAGCCTCAGCACTATAAGAAGGTTTCGCAAGACTAGTCAATGAGGGTTTCGCGAGAACAGTGAGGCCACAAACCATATTTTAGTTCTTACGGACCACTGGTGGTCCACTGCTCTATGGGAAACAGGTGGGTGGGTGGAGTGGAATTTAGGACTACAGAAGATCCTAACTCGAGTGTTAGCCCAGTTTCAGCATTGTCACAATTGTATGGCTTTTCTTAATTGAACAGCTTTGAGGAAGACTGATATTTGCCACATGGCTGTAACCTGCAGTGAACAATAGTGAACTGGACATTCAGTGTAGCATATACCAGTACTACATGTTTTGGAAAAAGCCAAATGTGGTATTTTATGTCTTGAACATGTATATATAAAACATGTTGGGTGGGCCCTTGATAATCACTGGGGTTTAACCCTTCAAGTGTTGTCCACTTCAACTCCCATTGGCTTCCTTGGCCAATGATCAGGGATTTGGGTTGTTGAGGTCCAATTTCTGGGGTTGTTGTTATAATTTTATGTGACTTGTTTGATACTTTTGTACTGTTTTTACCTGTTGTATGTGATATCTGCACCCTGGAGTTCCTTGTAAGCCACCCCAAGTCCCTCCAGGGAGATAGTGGCAGGATATAAAGTTTATTATTATTTATTATTATTTGGTTTCAGGATCCCCATGAACACCAACATTTGTGGATGCTTAAGTCCCATTATATACAGTGGTGCAGGAAAATGATATCAATTTGTATGAATTATTTTTAGCTGTATGTTATTATTGTTTTATGTTAGGTTTTTATATATGTGAAGCATTGAATTTTGCCATATATATTTTGGAAACCGCTTTGAGTCGTCGTGCCTCCCCCCCCCCCGGTGAGAAAAGCGGCAATACAAATCGAGTATATAAATAAATAAATGTTCCATATATAAAATAGCAAAAGTAAGGATTTCTTTTTGGATTATATATATATTCATTCAGTCTGTGGTTGTGAAATACAATCACCACAGATACAATCACCATCGTTTAATTTTTCTGCTCCCGATTTCCCCAGTATGCCCAACTCTGTTCCAGAATTAGAAAGAAAATTGAGTCCATGGATTCTTCTGTATCATGAGCTTTTGCGTGGTACAGTTTTGAAGAACATCACGGACTTGTGTGGAATTTGCTAACAGCAGCAAAGATTTCAATTACTGAGAGTTGTGGTGAGCCAGCTAGCCCTTCTTTGCAAGAAACATTAGTAAATAACTAAGATAATTTAATATATTGGTTTGAGGGATGAGGACAGGACTTAACATAATGGACATTTGATATAATTGGATGGTGGCATGAATAAGAAATGTCCTTTGGTGAGACCAGTTATTTCATACTGAATCATATATTTCAATATTTGGATTTTTTAACATTTTGTCACAGAATGTACAACTCTGAAAATAACCTCAATGTTGGCATGCTTTCTGCAGATTCCTGCATACTGCTATATTTCCCTCCAGGGACAATATCCAGAATCGCTCTGTACAGCTCCGAGAATCTTCATTTAAATGAACTCATAACCTTCTCCGTCTCCTCTGTCTCAGTTTTCCCCCTCCGGTTGTTTTGACTGCATGTCATAAACTTTCCATCACCACAAAATATGGTGTTGGAAAGGACTGATACCAGATTAGATGCTAGCTCTAAGGAGTCTAATCTTGTAAATTTGCAAAAGGGGCTGGTGTATTAATTAAAGCCGATTAAGTACAGAAGTCATTATAATTAGAATAGATAGGAAGGCTGTGCTTCTAATTTTATATATAATCTCACTGGAGATATTTAAAGATGGAGACTCCCTTCTAAAAAAAGAATAGTGGAAGAGGATTCTTTTTTAAAAAAATACTATGTCAGATTGTAATCCCAGTAAACAGTATAAAAATGGAACTGGTTGTTTCAAAACATCATTGGATAGCAATGGGCCTGAAAGAATGAAGACCATCTGGCTGGAGAGTAATGGTCCTTCTGTTTATAAATTGCATCTTTGACTTGTTATGGTGAAGGTGTACTTCTGGAAGGTGTAGGTATAAATCACTGTGGCCTAATAAATCAGTGCTTCCTAAATTATGTAATGCAGAAAATTGGCACTGCCCCCTCTCATGGTTCTAGGGATTGGCACCATATTTGTGAGCATTGGCTACAATTGTTGTGTTATTTCCTGGAAATTTACTGTGGACCAACAGCCAATCGTTCATGGACTGATAGTGGTCCACAGACCTCCACTTCTAGTAGTACAGTAGAGTCGCTTATTCAACATAAATGGACTGGCAGAATGTTGGATAAGCAAAAATGTTGGATAATAAGGAGGGATTAAGGAAGAACCTATTAAACATCAAATTACACTATGATTTTACAAATTAAGCGCTAAAACATTGGATGACTGAAGGTTGGATAAGCGAGACTACTGTACTACAGTACATGGTGTAATGGGTTCAGTGTCCAAAAGATATCAGGTTTTAGAAAGGAGACCTATCATTGATCTTCTAGAAGTGCCTGCTTGTAGTCTCAGACTTTCAAGAAGTGCCTTGTGCATACTTTCCGTCCAAGTAAGAAACTTTGGATGTGCTTATAGGCAAACTGATATTCATTAATCTTGCTACCAAATCAAAATGCCCACTCCTGGCAATGACATTATGTATGAAAGACAACATTAGTACAGGGTGCTCTGTCT